TACCGGCTCAATGGCGATTTTGTTTTCAGGCATCCATTTCTTCCGGTATGCTACATTGCAGGCAGAAGTGATGGTGATGCATTCTTTCGTGGGATTAAATTCGACAATATCCTTGAACTGTGCTTGAAATTTCATGCAGCCTTGTTTGAGGAGTCTTACATCTGATTGACAATAAGTCAACAGTTCATGTTGGAAATTGAAAATGTATCTTTCAGATACTTTTTCGTCATACCATTTATGGAATTCATCTTTGTGTGCTGTGGACATGCCATCAGGGTCATAGTAAGATTTGTCAGGCATGTACCCAACATAGATTTGATTTTGTTGGGTATTAAAGAAATGGGGAAAAAACCCTTTCTTTAGTTCATCAATCCCAAATGTTTTTGGAAAGTTTGACAAAGCCATGTGAAAAAAATTCATGGAGTCGATGAACTTGACATTGGGCAATTCCAAACAGTATCTTGGCCACGTTGACGATTTGCTGTAGGTTGGTAACGTGTTGTTTGTAGAGTTCTTCTAGAATGAAGTACCTGTCATAACCTTTAAAGTTGTGCGCTTGAGATTTCATCAATTATTATCAGTCTTAAATCTGAAATTGCCATTCTTATATGTGTTATGTCTGACATAAGTGTTATATTGTCACTAATTCCTAAGGGATTGCCAATGCAGTGATGAGTAGCACAGTCACATAGCCATTTGCTGTAACATAGTTCAAAAATAACTATTTTTTTATTTTTTCACTTTTTATCACTTTTTGACTTTAATTTTGATCAAAATGTACATTGTAATCAATATCTGTAAATATTTTTATTATTTTGCATTAATAACACTAATTTTGGTATTACCCACAATCCCTTGTGGGCGTGGCACATTTTTGGTTTTTCATAAAATCTTAAGAAAATCAATGTAAAAATGGAAAAAAAGAGGTTTTGTAATCATTAGTTCACATTGAAGCAATGATTTCTTCATTTTCTTTTAAAGGGAGTTTGTAAATAGACTTTCGTCCTCTCTTTCTGACTGGTAGGTCACCACAAATGTGACCGACAGTAGCAGCATGTACAAACGCTTTCCGTTTTTCGTTAATTGTGAAGGTCATGTCATGAATGTTCTCCCTTATGTAAAAGTGCCCCTTAAGAACTCTGTCTCCTCTGTAATAATGACACTGATAGTCATCTGTGACATTACTGTCAAGTTCTTCAACTCCATCAGAAGTGACCTGAAGGAGATAGAAGTCGTAGACAGGATCATCTTCAGCGGCTATCGCAACTGTACTTCCCTTGCTGGCCAGGTCAGCTATGTAGGAAGCAGTATCATGGTCTAAAATTGGTGCTTCAGTTGCCTGTCGAGTGGTTGCCACATCACCCTCTCTGGTTAGCTCCACCAGCTTCCATTCATCAAGTCATGCCTTGTTAGTGCAATTCTCCTCATCATTCACAATGCAACTGATGCAGTTACATGAGCGGTGTCGCACAAACACCTTTCCCTGCTGAGGGGTGGTTTTCACGCAATGCAGTTTTCTGATTCCTGTGAATTTGCGTCCAGCTCTATTCCTGACAAAAGATCCCTCCCCAGAAGATGGTACAAAATGGAAGATCCTGCGCTTAAGCTGAACTGACTTTGTTCTTCCTTCTTTAACTTGAGCAATCTTTTTTGCCTTGTTTTGTTGATAGTAGGCCTTGTCCCTTTCTCTTTTTGCCGCTGCTTTTCTTTCTTGCGCCGCCTTCTTTCGCGAAATACCTGAATTTAGATCGGACTCTTTTGTTTCCATCTGCTGCGGTTGAATTCCCTCAGTGTTGAAAATCGCGTAAAACATTTCACTGTTATGCAATAATCTGCCCCTGCAAACTCTGTATAGACTCCCATGTTATTGTCTGTGTAAACAAACTATGTGCTTTCAAAGAGAAGCTGCGAAGGAGTGGATTTCGTGAAAGTTTTGGTGGTGTTTTTCGCCATATTCCTTCGTCACTTTCCTTCGTTACGGTTCATGAACACGGAAACAATGGCGGAAATTGTTTCTGCGTCGACCAAACGTAAATTTCTAGCGTTAGATCTAACGAAATGGGTTGAAACGTTCTGTAAATTTAGCTTAATACAAGCCCATTCCAGGAGAGGTGAGCTTGTTTACTCAACTTAACAAGAATCGCGTCTGACAACGGATCTACTGGTGGATATGTGATGGAATTAAGCTCAATATGGCCGTTACGAAATGTGTTTCTGCGCGTTTTATTTTGATCTGGAAAACATTCTACTTGACGATTCAACTTCAGTGTTGGTTTGTAAATATTATGATGTATGCCCATTACATTTTTGTTATTAGTTTGTTGCTTACACAGTCGAAATTATCATTATTGCTAGTTTTGCACACTATGGTTGTTTTAATAGTTGCGAGCGTTACATTGTTCAGTGATAAAAACAGACGTTTATAACTTGCGTTAGAATAAACCATTCCTGTTGCAAATCATACTGCCTGTTGCTTTTGTCATAAACTACTAACGGCCATGTGCGTTCTATATTGAGATATTTAATTTTTTTTCTTCCGTCTGATACATTTCATGTTACGCGTTACACCCAGAAATTCACGCGTTTTCAGGAAATATTTATTTTTTACAATTTTCACTTTGTCGCAAACCTTGTTTTCTTTACACCAAAATGAAGTAGGATAACTAAGCTTATATTGTGGAAAGTGAGAGATTTAGAGGTTAAACCTTCCCGAAGATATTCGTTAGCAAAGGCACTTGAGTCCAGAATGGCGGCGTTACTGTGCTACTCATCAGTATGTGTTGTAATAATAATAACAACTTTATTTATATAGCGCTTGTATCCTCTGCTCAAGGCGCTTTACAATCAAACAAAATCATACACTATTAGCAAAAATTTGCAAATTTAAAACCATATCCTACTAATTGATACTTAAACATCGCTAAAATTCGTACTGATTAAAAAAGAAAAACAAGACTAAAGCCAGCACTATCTTATCACATGATACTCAAACATAGCTAAAATTCACAATGATTAAAAAATAAAATAAAATCCAAAGTGATATATATAAATCTATAAAAATAATGGTCTGTTATTAATATATTTACTAAACAGGAACGTCTCAAGTGCTCTTTTAAAAATTGAGATGGTGTTGGACTTCCGAATTTCTTAAGGTATTAAGTTCTATTCTCTTGGCGCATGAAAAGCAAATGCTGTCTCCATAAGTCTTAGTATACGATCTAGGTTGCATTAAAAGTTCATTACTAACAGACCTAGGTGATCTTGTAGGAGAATGATAATATAGTTTCTGAGCTAAATAGCTAGGCGATGCCCCATTCAGCAATTTATGCACTAGAAGCAGAATCTTGAAAATAATATGGTATTAGATCGGTAGCTAGTGAAGCTACTGCAAAACAGGTGTGATATGCTGAAACTTACTCATTTGACTCACAACTCTAGCTGCCATGTTTTGTACATATTGCAGTCTTTCACAGGATGAAATGACTAAATTAAGTTTCCTTAAAGGTAACTTAAAGGTTAACATTAGAAGTATTTAAGACATCTTTAGGTGACATACGAAAGTTCTGAAATGAATCTTTAATTGAACTTTCAGAAGTCAATTAAAGTCTCCTTATGAACCATTTCATGAACACTTTAGGATCACATGAAAGTAAACCTAAATAACCATTTAATTGACTTTAAGAATCCTCCTAATTCTCGTAAACTCGTCTTTAATTGCCAAAACTTCTACTTGTAAAGGCAACTTAAAGGTTTCTTTAATCTTTTGTTTCCCTTTAAGTACTACTTAAAGTTGCAGGTTTTGTTGTAATTCATCTTTAGTTGTACTTTCAGGTCCTCTTAAATTTCAAGTTTTGTTAAAATTCATCATTTAGTGACCTTTAAGTGCCTCTAAAAGCTGTAGGTTTCACCTTAAATTGACTTTTGATTTGCTTAATCACACCCACATTTATATTATGATAACTTATAATATTTTGGGAAACTTCTAAATTGTTAGAAAAAGAGACATCACACATACAAGTAATTACAGAATGTTTGAAATTGCAGTGATGAAATAGTTTTGTTCAAAACTCACTTCCTCCCCTGAGATTGAGTAAACCCACAATAAAGCTGAGGATATCTCATTTGAGGCACATACATAATTAAAAAAGAGACATCCAAATGTTTGAATTACTAATTGTCATACTTTATTAAGATTGTTTCTCTTTCATTAATGTATAATTCATATAATCTCAGTCATCTATATAGAATAGAATAGAATAGAATAGAATCTTTATCACTATAAAAATATAAGAACTACAGAATATAACTAGCTGTAGCAACACACTACACAAAAAGCTATTAATTCACAAATTTCACTCTCAAATCCAGCCACTAAGAAATGCAATTTGAACTGATACTAACAATAAAAAATAAGTTCAACCTATCAATTTAAAAAATCAGTATATTTTTCTAAATCAATTTAAATTTGCGATAGCTATCAATTATTTGCCGACCTGTACATCAATATGGAAAAAAGTATCTCATATGGAGGAAATTAAATATAAAATTGAAGAATTCACAATTACTTACTTTAGATAATGAGACCATTAAAATTGCTAATTAACATATTCAATGAAAAAGAAGTCTCACGCAGGCATGTAAAAGACCTTCATTCTAGACATGGCTGATTAATACTTTATGATCTGGATATATTATACATTTTTAAATTGATAAAACAATTTTTTTTTACTGCCTTATTGCCCACCCTGGAAAATTTTCAGTTGGTGGGCATCTCAGAGAAGGTTGCCCATCAACTCTGGGTAGGATTCTCTCCTTAGCTCTTGAAGTGAGTTTTTTCTTATAGGCCTTATTAAGTTTTTTTTTTAATTTTTTTCATTCTTCTACTCTCCCATTGAAGGCGATGGACAGAGTATTTTGTTAATTTTGAGTTATTTATATCATCATCCTCGTAACAGCTTTCTTCACTGCTCATCGCCTCCATCACAAGAACCTCCGCCACTCTCCCCTTTTCATGCTGGTCAGCCCAGTTGACCAGCTCCAGGGCTGTAGTTCGTCTCATTAACTTCTGAAAAAACAAAAATATACAACAAGCATGAGAAGGGTATTATAAGACCTCAAATGGAAAATATGATCCAAATTACTAATTTCTCTTGATATGCATGTGCACACAGTGTAAGAATGGAATTCTTAAGCATGTAATACTATAGAGTCTCCTTGTCCTTTATTTTTCATCAAATGGTCCATACAAGCTATCATTGATCTCAAATCACATCTTAATATTTTTCATTCTTTTCCTCAACTACAGATCCATCTTTAAAATAATATTATACAATTACAAAATTTACTTTACAAAGATTTTCTTTGTAAGGAAGGCTCTAGATACAGACTAGAATACATAATTCATTTAACAATTGCTCTCATAGGCACAAAACAATTTTGACAGGACACAGTCCCTTAAAAGTGTCTATATGCAAAGCCATCCAATTTTGAAGTGGCAAAAAAAAATGCATTCAGTGGGAAACATCTTCCCTCCTATTGATCAATGTACTCAATGGTGCACTGGTAACACTGAACATCTGTCAGACCCTGTCGTTTGTGAACAGCAGGGTATATGAAAAGTAAAATGTTAAAATAGTATCCCAATAAATACCTCTCTTTGGCAACCACTCTTCCTTGTTTTTTATTCATGTGCCTCATAGCGATTACTGCTCTTCAGTTTATGTGTTTCTAGGCACGTTTTAAAATATCTTTGTAAAGCAGCTGTTCAAAGAAATGATTATCAAAATGCCATGAGAAGTTGATTATAAAAAGATTCCCATATAAATAAATGACAATGTTCAAATTTATAATCATTTATGGCTGGCCGCATAGGTATATTTGCCAAGTTATATAAATTTGCAGTATGTCCTTGGTGATTCATTGCTAAGGTGTGAAGTAAGCTTTGTTGAGGATTTACACTGAACTTAATGTTTCAGAGACAAGAAATTAACCTGAAAGTTCTAGTTTGCAACATAGGAAAAAACTAAAAATATACCCTTCCTCTTGTCCTAAATTTGAAACATATAATGAGGGTGCTCATTAGAAGTTGCATGATATCTAACTGTGTTACTGAATGCTGGTTCTATGATGTAATTTTTGTTGAGGGAAAAGTGGTTAAAGACACTAACTGATGGTACAGACTAAAAGCAGGGGTATCTTTAAGGACTGGGCTCTAGACAAATTGACCAACTGTGAGTGCAATTTTGTCTGGATGTTTTTAAGCCAAGGCCTTCAGTGAACTCAACTTGTTATAAAAGAGATATACATCAATACGCTTAAGTGCCAAATTCTTATGCCCACCTGCAAAAAATCATAATGACACCCCAATGAAAGTGAAATGCATGTGCTATGATTATTGATAGCTACCTTCTATGATATCCTTTGTCCAGGGACACTTTTCAGGTCCTCCCTGTTGATGTACAACCTGCTCTACTGTGCGCTCAAAAACTCCATAGTTGTTATCAGAATTTACTCTGAGACAAGAACAAACACCGTGATTAAGCCACGTATTCTGTTTTAACAGTATTAACACTTAGACAAAAGCAACAACAATAAGGTATTCACATAACATCTCAATATTTCTAGCAGCAGCTTAGACTCTGATTTCACGGTTTAATCAATATAAAGTAAAATATCTTTGAATATAATAACATGTTACTCACTCTTCGTCAAGATAAAATCCACCAAAGTCGTCTTTTTTTAAAAGAAGTTTATATATCCTTCTCACGGCTCTCTAAAAGATTGAAATAATTTCAACAATCAATTTGTCACCTTTCCCCTATTTCTACTTCCACGCTTTTTACACAAGTACAATTAATCTTACCCATCTGTGTGATTAAAACAGGGAAAGTCAAAAGGGTTCAAGAGAAAAGATAATAACATGAATTTTCGTACTGGATTATTCTCGTTGAAAGAACAGGGAGGAAAAAACCTTTCTGATAGACCTGTTTATGGTAAAGGGGATTATCAAGTAAATGTAACCACACATAATTATGCCAAATGATTACCGCCTAAATAATTGAGTTATACATATAATTTGCGCGCCAAACACGTACTCAACATAAAAGCAAATCTTCCACGAAACAGAACTGAATTCAGCAAATCATGAACATATATCACATTATTTATGCTCATCAGTTAAGTTTTTCTACTCACTCGACAAGCTGGTGGAACTACTATCGTCCTTCGCTTCTGTCTATTTTGGCGCCGACGGACTTTGGCTCCATTATCACCAGTTTCAAGACGGTTCTCAATCCGCTGAAGAGCCTCTAAGTTTGATTTGTTGCTGCGCTCTTGCTGCTGCCGCAGCTTTTCATTTTCGCTCGCCAGAGCCCGGTTGCTGCGGATCAATTCCTCCAGCAGTACGATGCATTCTTCGGACATGTTACTATTTCTAATTGCCGCTGGAACCGCATTATCATCTTGATTTTGTCCGCGATCGTTTACTCGTCTTTCTGCCATTTCCTTCGCTTACTTTCCCTAACCCTGAATTAACTGTAAAATAACCAGACAACAATCGCTTCGTTCGGATGCTTTGTTAACAGAGTCGTCAACGGAATTGAGATTCAAAAAAGCGCGCGATTATCCTATACCAAACCTGGAAGGACCTCCTGTTGATATTGTGCCTCGTTGTGATATACACTGTACCGAGTGTACTGGGCCTAGCTAACGCTGGCGAGTACGAATGAAGACTCAAGTGTAATTGGAAGCAAGGAAACACGGAGGCCTTTTGTGGCGGGAAAACTTCTACAACACGTTCGATCTTCACTTGTTCAAGCAAACAGCTTTGTACCGATACCAAAATTTCATCAAGGTAAGTTGTTCATATATCTGAAAATCTAGCCTTGTGAAGGTAAAGGATATCTTGTAACAAAGGAAATTTATCTAAGCGGCAAGTCACGGCATCGACGTTAATTAATTCGATGATATTTCTTGTGCAAGAAAGTGATTTTGTTGTGTAATGATATGTGATCGACGCTTTATACAATTGTGAATTGTTTTTTTTTAAGTGTGATTAGAACAATTACGATAGCAAGCTTGTGATAAAAAAGCTTGTATGTATGGCATGCAAACAGAACTCAGTCGAGGACAAATAAGTAGGGGCAGGGGTGGGAGGTAATGGACTTTTTTGAAATAGCGGGTTACTTTTCAACAGTGGAGGATATATACATTTCTGTTTTGACTAGAAAGGAATGAATAACAAGATAAGCTCAATTTAATACAGTCAAATCAATAACAATACAACCAATACTGTAGAATTTTTGTTTAGTGGGAGGAGAGAGGAGTGGGCTTATTAGGGTAAAGACATTTTAGTCAGAAGGCCTTGATAGATATGGGGTACCTAAAGAGCAGTTGTGGCATTGAGCTTGCATGAATACTGGAGTATGGTCATTAAAAACCTCATGTCAGTGCCATTTAAGGAATGTAAGCTTCATTCCTTGATTGTATTTTGAATTTAAAACTTTTAAGTAATCATACATGATACTTGTTATGAACATAAACATCAAGGACACTTTTGAAAGTTTGGCCAAAGGAAAAATTTGCATTGCAATTAGGGATTAAATTATGTCTTAATTCTTAACTGATTGTCATCTCCCTAATAATAGCTGGTCTGGTTGACCATTTTTTAGGTTGTGATGAGTAATATCAATCAAATATGCTGAATCTGCCTGGTGTTGCAAAGTGGTGACTAGTTTCAGAGTTTCAGGCAACATTGTTTTTTTTTGGGGGAGGTGGGACTTGCAAGAAACTTATTAAGGAGTTTATTTCAAGATTTACTTTTTACTTTGTTAAGTGTAAGGTTGTCAACCACCAAGTAAGGGGAGAGCAGGGTGCTGAGTACTTTGGCCATGAGTTGTAGCTTCTTGAATGTCAGGTTTTTTCCAAATTGTGGAAATTCCATACAAGTTGCAGATTACAAGTGAGAGGTTTTTAGTCATCTTAATGCTCCTGGATCATTGTGAGTGACCACATTATTTTTACTAAGCATTTTTTGGCTTTCTGATAAACATTTACTCAGTCCAAAGTAAAATAAGATATGCTTAAGGATATATAAAGAATGTAGAGTATCAATGCTTGGTTCAGGCTCCAGAGACAAGTTTCAAAAAAAATTTTTTGACAAATTATAAATAAATAGACAAGACAGGCTTTACACTCAATTTTCATGCATTTGAATGTATGGCTTCTAAACTGAAAGTAGGTTTGAGTATGTCAGGTTTTTCAAAATGTGGAATCTTTCTGCAAGGTTTGGGTTGTGAGTGACAGAGTTTTAGTCAGATCTTAATGCTCCTGGATCATTACAAGTGACCACATTTCTGTTACATTTATATTTTTTAACTTTGTGATATTGTTGTTTCCTTTGAAAGTGGGTATAGACATGACAAAATCTTCCAATAACATAGGCTGTCATCACTTGGTACAGTCCCAAACTGAACAACTGTTCATATGTAGACTAGTCAGTTGTTTCTTGTGCTACAATTGTTTCAGTTGAAAGTAGGTTTCAGCCTGTCAGGTCTTTTTCAAAATATGTAATCTTAATGCATGGTACAGCTTACGAGTGACTGCTTTTTGGTCGCTGGGCGAAACCAACTGTTTTGTACATGTATTTTTGTGCTGGCTTTTCTTCCCTCTGCATTTATTTCATTACCCAAAATAAGGGAGGGGGCCCTCCCCTAGATCTGCCACTGGGTTATAAGCACACGTCATTTACTTCAAGCACTCTTCTTTTTCAGCTTGAGGATCATGTTTCAGAAGAAGACATTTCACTTCCAATGGACAAGTTGGATCACAGAGAGCTAATGGTATCTTGTGTAGGATAGTGAAAGAAAAACATTAGAATTTGAGTCCCTTGTGAGGATTCAAACCTCATGCAGTCAGCCCAGAGAAGGCAATCCCAGCTGGGTGGAGAGTTTCGTGCGCTCCTCTCAGTGCTTGTTTATTTTTGCGTCCCGAGGAGAGGTGCAGTGCAGATTGCCCATACTTCGGTCTTACCCTTTGGTACCTCGGCAATGATATGCTCGTATCGTTTTTATTTTTATGCTTTATGGTTCCTCCTTTTTTTTTTTATTTGATACGTGCACTGAGCCGTTAAATAGGTCTCAAACCTGGAGGCCAGACCCATCTCGGTTGTCGGCTGTAACCACCAGAGGACTGTGTCTGTATTCGAGCAGGGATTTACTTTTCTCTTTTCTCTGGCACACTTGACATTCAAAGTCAAAGGAATGCAAAACAACTATAGCCAAGTTGGAGAGTATCTGCTTCTTAACTGAACAACATCAAAAAATTATGGCATTAGCAGAACTGAATGGTGACTGAAGCTTTCAGAGCTTAACTTGAGAGGGGCCACAAGAAGTAACTGTCTATGTTATATCAGTCAAAAACCAGTTATCTCTCATACATACTGGTTGTAAGGTTTTAAAAATGTCAAGTTTTTCAGTAAGTGGAATCTCAATGCTTAGCACAAGCTGCAAATGTCAAAATCCATATATTGCCAGGCTCCAGGAAGATGTAAGTGGGTATAGACATTCAACTTTTTCAAGAACAAACTCTCTCTCTCTTTATTGTCATTTTTTGTTTGAGACTCTCTCTACATACATACTTGTTGTAAGGTTTTAAGAATGTCAGGGTTTCAGTTAGTGGAATCTCAATACCTAGCATAGGCTGCAAAGGTCAAAGTTCGTATATTGCCAGGCCTCAGGAAGATGTGGATAGGTTATGACCACATTCATTTCTCTAAATCTAGATAGTTTGTTCCAATTTATTTTGTTTAGTATTGTTTTTGGAGTTCGGTACAGACTGCAATTGACAACTTTCTGAGTAATTTTTTTGAGACAGTCTTAATCTCTGGTCAATTTAGGTTCTTTCCTATAATTGTTCTTTTAATACACTGTATGTATGAAGTCTTTTGTTAAAGGCTCTTTGTCGCAATGCTCATTCATTTTATTTTTCAAGGCTTTGAAGTACATTTAACAGAATCTGAAATTTGGAACGTTGAATGATGCTGTGTAATATTTAGGTTAATGCATGCATACACAGACTCTCTGGAGTCGCAGTCTTTTAATCTGAAGAATATATCATTTGTTATTATGAATCTACCTGTTCACAGATGAATTTCAGAAAACAATATTTTAACTTGTATACTATGTGCCCCTATCTACCCATTTCACCCCCTAAGATCTCAATATTATTTTTCTAAATGCCTTTCATACAGTTTTTTTGATATATTTGTGAGAATATTGATGTATTGCTAGTGTGTTAGGGAGAGTTGCTTATTGACCAGTCCATGAAGTAAAAGGGTTGGGAACTCCACGTGTTGGGCTTCCAACTGAAACAAAGGCCTCATTTCACTTTATTTTAATAGAATGTAATTATAAACTGACTATACCTTGCCAAGGTCACATTTTGTTCCCTTTTGTACTGGAAAGCATACTACTTACTTACTACTTACTTGTACTGGAAAGCATACTACAGAATCTACTTGTTCATAAAAGATGGAAGCTGGAACCTTAAGTGGAATCTTTTGAGGGAGATCACAGTTAATCTAAAAGTAATCTTAACTGTATGAAATTATTGGATATTTACTTAGTAACCAGCTGAAGTTTAGAAATACAGTCGAATATTCTTATTACCACAAACTTTTAAAAGCAATTAGGACTTTCCTCTGTGTAAAGATACTTACTATTTCTAATACGATGCTCCCTTTACTTGAAATTTCTTGAAACAAATCACGGGAATTTGAAGTCGACCCGAAAGTATCTGTCAAGTTCGACTTGTTACGTTTTCGCTCATGCCTTTCGAAAGTTGAACGTGACACGAAGTCATTACAATGAGCACAATAAATATATCCTTTCTTGTCATCGCACTCCATGCGTTCTATAAAGGAGATGCGAAAATGAAAACCCGTTGCTTTCAATTCAGATATTTTGACAAAATTTGCTGCTGCACATGGAACAAAATTTGCTATTCCTGTCCGACGCAAGTGCTGGCTAATTTGTGATGCATTTCCTATTGACAGTTCAGATTACAATTAGACTATCTTTAGTGCGTCAATTAAAGATGTCAAAACAGCGAGACTCGTTTAATTCTCACCTCAAAGGTTAATTAAATGTATATTAATTAAAAACCTTCTTTTGTGCCAAAAAAGAGACCACTTAAAGGATGCTAAAAGATTTACGTTATTAAAGTTCACCTTATGTTCAATTAAAGATTCATGAAAGGTAACTGTTAGCTTTTGAATATTTCGGTTTACAATTAAAGACGCCTAAAGCTTAAGTCAACCTTTAGGGATGCTTTCCGTTTTGCCTAAAGGCACTGAAATAAGAGCATTCGTCCTGTGAATTTGTAACTGATTGTTACGAGTGTCAATGTAGAGCAGGGTTGTTCCTAGACAAAACTCAGGATCGTCGGTAACAACATAGCACTAAGCTTCCTCGCAAATCACTCTCTCTGTTCGATGGAACTGT